TCTTCCGGTACCTCATATGACATGTGCCGCCGGCGCTGATGTTGAATAACATGACGTCTCGCCGGTTGTACTCCCGTTTGCGGTCCGCCCGCGAATGCATTTGTATGTATAGCCTATTGTCTGCGATAATAGTCTTGTTTATAACGTCTAATCGCATGAAATACTCGTAATTACTCCGTCTTTCGTTCACTACATATCTATCAATAGTTTCATCAAAAATGTTTTTGTAATATTATTTGTTATTTTTCATTATTTATTAAAATAATTTCTAACATTACTAAATACTTGGTAATTTTTATTAAATTGAATTAAGCTAATCTATATAACTGTATTCTACAATGTCTATTAAATGCTTATTTACAAATTGTTAGTAACAAGTCTAGCTGAATTATCTATTTTCTAGTCAGGTGAAAATTATTTACATACCTGTCATCGGACTCGCCATTCCACTGTGAAAATAGCGTAAAACATGCGATATAACCCGATACAGAGCGTTGCAATCTGGTCACTCTATCGCACGGTATAAAATTACCCCCAGTAGAGTTTAGGACCGAACAATTAAATACCTTTTTTATTGGTACCATTGATAATAGTTGGTCAGCGAGTAATTGTTGATTAAATTGATCCAGATTCAAATGAGATTTAGTATTGACCTGCATTTTATAAATGCATATTATAAGCGCCGGTAGCTTTAACTCGGCCTTTGACTCGAACCGCACATTAGTAGTGGTTTCGTACGTGAAATACAATTCACTTAATTCATACGTTTGATATAAACAGCCCGTAAGGCATAATAATTGGCAAAATATATTAAATGCTGTTTTGTTAAATAATTTAACCATGTTTTATATGATAACACCACTAGTATCTTTAATATTGCACTTACAAGAACTTTGTTTTATGTATTATAATATTTAATTATTAACAATAATTTTTAATACTTGATAAAATATAATATTTTTAGTTTCATACATTATTCATGTTTACCGAGTGTATTAATAATTTATGTACTTTATTTTGAGATATAAGTTATATCATATAACACTTTGATGATTAAATATCTTTAAATATAACTGTTTTAAATATAATAGATTTTTTTAATCTATGATATTGTTATTTACATAAAATAATATTGTTTTATTAATTGTATAATAGCATTGATACATGCAATTTAACATTCGATATAAAATAAGTATTATGCAGGGCATTTTGTTTTTGCGCATAATGGATATTGTTTTGAACAACTAAGTATCCTAGTCAATTATAATATTAAAATAATACAAATTCAAGGCAAAAGTAATAGTTAACAATACATTAAACATTATTTTAAATATTATTTCTACTAAAGTATTGATTTTGCCATGGTCGTTTGTTTGGTAAACAACAATAATAAAATAAAATCAATAAAATATACGCCTTGATACTTAATTAATATCTAATATTTTAATGATAATTACATTATTATTAGGAATAATAAGAAAATTGACTAAATAATTAATTGAATGTTTATTATAATATTAAAACAAAAACAAGTTAATTAAATTAATTATGACATTATAACTAATAATATTGTGAAAAACAAAAATTAATTATTGCTATTGGTAAAAAAGTATTATATGATAATATACGGTACAGTACAATTTCAATAAAATCTTCAAACTAGTTAAATTGTTGTTGTAATTGTAATTAATACTGATTAATTAATTATAAAAAATAAATAATTTTCAATATCTAATGTTATTGTCAAACTTTTTTCTCTGTTGAAACAATCTGTTTGTTTGGTTGTTATTAATGAATAGTTTATTTAATACATATTGATTGACAGAAATGTCATTAATATTGTTAACTAATCTGAATTTAAAATAATTTATGCAATACTTTTTACATGTACTAAACATGTATGACATAAAGTGGGTAAACATTATAACTGAAAACCCAAACCATAGGCTTATAATACTGGCCAAAAGGCACAGGTATTCATCAAACGAGAACTTTAACGATATCTCATAGACAGTAGTGGGCTCTGACGGGAACTTAATATCAATAGTAAACTGATCTCGATTATTATCAGGAACTAAATCATATTCTACAGCGTAATAATCTTGGTAACATTCAACGCGATCGCTACATTCACACTCACATTCAGACACATACATATTGGCCACCGAGCCATTAAACCCCAAAAATCTACCATGATGATAATAGTCGTGGAAAATTTGAAATTCAACCGGGATTGAGCCATAATCATGATAGAATCGCCTAATTTTACACTCTAGCTCACACTCTTCCCGAGTGGTATTGCGAAAGCACCGGATGTTACCCATACTGTTGGCCATATACTTAATGGTGGTTTTACGGTACCTGACATGACATGTGCCGCCGCGGGTAATGTCAAGTGTGATAACCTCTCGCCGATTGTATTCACGCTTTCGTTGGTCTCTGGCCTGCATTTGAATGTATAGCTTCTGGTCGGCGATAATGGACTTGTTTTTGGCCACAAATCGCATAAAATACTCGTAATTACTTCGTCTCTCATTTACAACATATCTAGTGTTGCCATAAGTTATAAAAAATATTATTCAACATAATTATTACACTATAAATACCTGTCATCCGACTCGCCATTCCACTGGGTAAATAAGGTGACACACGCTATATAACCCGATACCGAGCGTTGCAATCTGGCCACTCTATCGCACGGTATGAATACGCCCGTAGAGTTAAGAACTTCACAGTCAAACACTCCCTCCACCGGAATTAATGAGTCTAATTGTTCGGCAAATGATTGTTGGTTAAATTGATCCAGATTCAAATGAGATTTTTTATTAACATGCATTTTATAAATGCATATTATAAGCGCCAGTAGTTTTAACTCGGCTTTCGACTCGAACCGTACATTAGTAGTGGTTTCGTACGTGAAATACAAATGACTTAATTTATACGTTTGGTATAAACAACCCGTAAGGCATAGTAATTGACAAATTGTATTAAATGCTGTTTTGTTACATACGTTATGCATGATTAATAAATTGCGAGTCTTTTACTGACAATGTGAGTATATCACAAAATAATAGTATATTGCAATAGTCTTGTTTGAAAGCTAATAATAGAAATTCATACTAGAAGCTATTTTATAAATTATATGACATGGTAAATATAAAATATGTTTACTCGATAGATATTTATTTATAATAAATATTTAGAATATAATGGGAAAAGTATGGATTTTGTAATTAAACTTTTGTTGCATAATTAATATTTAATTATTATGTATTTTAATGTTATATTTCGCACAGAATAATAATATAAAAGTAAACACGAATATTGATTCTGTATATGTAAATTATTTTATTGTTATGAATATTTAAAATAGTTCTCATGTAGTAGAAAATATATTTAAAAATATACTAAAGATTTAATTCAAGAAATAATTACTTATTATTAATAAAATATTTATAAGAAATTGTTTGCACTAGGTTATTGATTTCTTTATGGTCGATTGACTAAATAACAACTAAAACCTACTCAATTAAAGTTTCATATATATGTTTACTATAGGTGTATTATAAATACCTTTGTTATTTTAACTTTTATATTTATTTAAAGTTTAAAAATATAAATATAATTAACATTCATTTTTAACTAACAATAAATGTAAACATAATTGAAATTGAAACAATATTATAAAACAAATTGAACAAGTACAGGTTTTACGGAATAAGAAATGTGTTTACTGATTTCTAATTAAATATAGTAGCATTAGTTTATTTTATAATCACTTGTTTTGTTTACAGTGATTCTTATATAACGAGTTCATTAAAATCCGTTGTAATTACAATAACAAAGTATTCACTCAAATTGTTTTATGAAAAAAAAATTTTCTACACATAATAGTAATATAAATTGCCCTTGTAAAATATGTTTAGTTTATGTATAAATAAATGTGTGCTGTTAACAATATTATTAGATTTCTAGTTGATATTGACCTAAAATAGGATATAACTATACATTTAAAACTAATCTTATACTTATATGAGACAACAATTAGGGATATCCTAGATCGTATCTAGATCCTATGAAGAATTCATTTAGCACATGGCAAATTTCACATAGTTTATATTGTATAAATATCGCTGCAATTAATATTGAAAATCACTCTAAAAATATTATTTTAAGTAAAATTAGAAATAATTTTAGTAAAAATAACCATGTTGAAATTTGCGTGTTTAGCCGTTTTGATCGTCGCCGCTTCAGCCGGCATCCCATTCAAGGATTGCGGTATGTTTTATAAATAACATGTTCATTTTATTACAATAACTAACCTTAATGTGTATACCTTAGGACACTCTGAGGTAACCAACGTTGCCATCACTGGCTGCACAACCAGTCCCTGCACTCTCCACAAGGGAAAGGAGGTTACCATCGATATTGAGTACACCGCCAGTAAGTGTTGACAAACTAATAGCACAATTAAATTTAGTTTAAATAATTGAATTGCATTTATATACTAATTAAAACTGACCATGTTAAATAGATGCCGACAGCGCTAAGGCTGAGTGGTCTCTGCACGCCATTGTTGGTGGTTTGGACTTGGACCTAGCTACTTTGATCCCCGGCTTTGACCGAGATGGTTGCAAAGACACGCCCTGTCCCG